TTTTTTTTTTTTTTTTTGAAGACGACCCCTACCCCACGACCCCTGGTACGTACCCTACCCCACTTTGACCCATGTAGCAGAATCACCATGACCCAACTTCCAGCACCCCTATGGGCACTCATCCGTGAAAGTGGCAACCTCTCACAAGTGCAACAGATCGAGCATCTTAAACCACCAGGACCTTTCACATATGTCGGCCGCAGGCACTGCGCGCGGGCCTGAAAATCAAGACTGGCCACCAATTCGATTTATAGGCGGCCGCCCTTCCGTTTCAGGCCACCGCGTTACCTGGCGCGCCTCTGGAAAAATAGGTGGGAAAGGTACTGGTGGGTTTAAAGCACAACCACCAACCACAATCACAACCACCCGACTCCCCCACTGCGCCTGCACGCTCTTCCTTGGCTGTGACCGTTGCCAACCAATTCACTCGCCCTCGACTTCGCCCATGCGTTTTGGCCAATGCTACTTGCTGCATTCAGCTTCATCAAGGGTACATGTTTCACCGATGCCACTCAGCCTTGCCAGCGGTTTGGATGAACTATAGTGCCAGTGCAGATATTCAACAACGCCTATGCTGCAAGTGCAAAAAAAAAAAAAAAAAAAAAAAAAAAAAGGGCCTACGATTCGAGCGCATTAAGGACTAACTTTCTTCTTTTTTTTTTTTTTCTTTTTTTTTAACTCTTCAATTTGCTCCTGTTTCTTGGTTTCCATCCCAAGTCTTGTATTGGGTGGATTAGGAACAGACTCAACAGAGGAAGCATTGGAGTTTGGGACGCCAACGATGTCCCCGGCTGCTTGTCCCTGCTTGTTTCTCAAAGTCTTTGTAGGGATGCTGGTGGCTGGACCCAATTTCCAGCAGCTTAGTGAAAGTGACCATTTTGCTCTTTTTTTTTTTTGAGATGAAAGTTCATGAAACGAATTACTCGAACGTAGCCAAGGTAGTCGTAAGCCAAAAGAAAGAAAGAAAGAAAGAAAGAAAGAAATCATAAGAATATGCTGGCCTTCATGCTTAGTTGTTGGTTTAGCAATGAAGGTGGCCTTCACATGTGTCACGAGTCCCTAAGCCTTGGTTCTCGTGAAACGAGCTGGAAAATCACTACAAAGAAACAACGTAGAAAATCGCCTACAAAAATTTAGTAGTGCATTCTGTTCTGTTCCGAGGGCATATTCACACTAGCACTCACCAAAATGGATTTGACCACAATTACCGCCAGCCCTGTATTCATCTGGCCGTAATTCCGTCCAGAAACATGGAAAAAAGTGCTAGTGTGAGTATGCCCTGACTATGAAGATTGGTAAATAAGATGACTTGAACAATTGTAGTTTCACAGAAGTCAGACTAAAGTTGTGGAAAATCACACTAGACTAAAGTTGTGGAAAATCACACTAGAGTGACTAGACTAAAGTTCGTGGAAAATCACACTAGACTAAAGTTGTGGAAAATCACACTAGA